ATTTCTGTGTATACCATGTGGAGTATTATCGAGTGAATTGGTTTTAGTTGTATTACTGGTTAGTTTATCAGTGTTCTTAAAGTGCAGAATACTCTCCCCCTCTCTCTCTCTCTCTCGTTTTAAACTAAGAGTCATTGTTTATTTGAATCAAATAGTTATCATCGTTCGGTACAATATAGTAGCTTGAGCGCGCGCGCACGCGGTTATGGTTTATTTTGGTTCAAATTTTTTTTTAAATTTCATTTGATTTATGGATATTGTTACATAGAAAACATGAAGCGATTAATATTAGACAAACATTGAAGCCAGATGCTTCGGTTTACCTGCTAAAACTCACTTTAGGCGACGGAGTATTAAAAACTGTTTTTTTACATGACACATCCAAACCTTTAGTTCATATTATCAAATAAACATATGAAGATTCTTACAGTAAGTCATCGAAAATATTGTTAGCCACTGTTTCATACACTTTGTAAGTAGTAATATTAATGAGATTACAAGTTAGTAGTATCGATGATAAATATAGCAACAATGTCAAAACTTACCGAACATCATTATCATTAGTCGAGGTCCCAAATCACGAGCTGGATTTAAAGCAGCTCCAGCATTCAATGCGAAACAGCCAACAAGGGCATAAACTAGAAATGCGAAATGTAGTGGATGTAGGTAGTTTGGAAGTTTCCATCCATTCTTATCACTAATAGCTAACGCTCCTGCTGCCAACAATGCTGTGCCGAGAACTTGATCAAGGAAACATGTTATATGAGATGCTGAAGGATTCGTGACAAATATACCACCTGTTGACTTCACTAGGAAACTTCCATTATCATGCAGGTCAGCATATTCATATATCTTCTCACAATAAACGCCATATATAACAAGGGAGCCTACAAAAGCTCCCAAAATTTGGCTAATTGTATAAAATGGAACACGTCTAAGCGGGAATTTTCCAATTATTGAAAATGCTAAAGTAATAGCTGGGTTAACATGTCCAGAACCACCGCAACCGGAGAAAATAACACCCATATAGACTGCGAATCCCCAGCCCAAACTAACTGACAAGAATCCACCATGAGCTTTGTTCTTATGATCACCCAACATTGTTTGGGCCAATACACCAGAACCAAATATCATTAAAATTGCAGTGCCACAAAATTCCGCCAAACATGCTCGAATCAAAGGACAGGAAGTTAGTCGAATTTTATCAGCAAGTAAACGCTGTCTCCGTTCCAATCTTCCTTCGAATGTATCAGTATGCCCCATCAGTTAAGAATTTCTTTCAATAAAACTAAGTAGATATATATTGTGTGTATATTTGTATCAGACTGTTTGCTTCCAGTCTATATAATAATAAATAGATATGGTCACCCTATTGATATCAACAGATGTGACCAACGTACTGTAGTAGTTCCAGTGTTTACAAGTGAATTTATATTGCAATTGTTCGTCATAGTGTCAGAAGAGTGAAAAATTTTTGATCTTACAAAAAAATTCGATAGGCTTTCATTTTTAACCAATCACATGCTAATTATATTCCCATCTTACTATGGCCCGATTATCATTTTCAAACTGACCAATCAGAAAGTAGATTATAAGGTCATTCTATTGAAACGTTCTCTAGATACACGTTGCATAGCCCAGTAAATTTAATTTGAATTCGGGAGAAACAATTAGAATCTCTGTGTTACCAGCTTTAGTCCTGATATCTAGAAGTGTAACATTTAAATTTAAACACTGTTTAGTGTTTATTTAGTAACGCATTACGTAATTTCTAAAATGTAAAGCATCTTTGATTGAGTAATAGAAAATTTTCACAAAATAATTATACTGTGTATTCTTATCTTCGGAGTGACGGAGAAGTAAAATTATTTACTTATGAATTGAATATTATGTGTAAATCATTGTCCCTGTTTAGCACTATTTACACGTTACATAGAGGCATAACAAAGCCAGGAAGTCTAAATGAAGAATCTTAGCTTAATCGATCGATCGATAAAAATTACCACTGTCAGATATCTCATTTATTTTCAGTCATTAGTCAAGTGTATCAGTAATCTCATAGAAGTAGAAGCATATTGAAAGAAAACTAGGTGGCACATAAACCATAAAATCATTGCTTATTAAACTGAGACTAATGATTGGAGATTCATGGGATAACAACAGTGACCAATTGCTAGATATACTAGGTGACATAATTCACAATCGGCCACAGTAGATTAACGGTACCTACTATTCATCTTCTCTTAGGTTTTCCTTCAACAAAATTTCTTAATCTTTATCAATTATATTCATCTCTTTTTTTTCAAACTCCATTATTTCATGTCTGTTGTGATAAGTTCACCATTGGGGTAAGTGGAGATTGATGCTGTTTATTGCGGTCATGAATCGATCGATGTTAGAACACTATTGATAAACTGGAAGCAATGGATGGTCGTAGTGCGGTATTCTATTCGATTCGATGTAGGGCTCAATACTTTGGTGGCCCGCGATCTGGCTCCATTACTTATGAACGGTCAAATATGATGTGAAGTAAATCTCCCAATCAATTTGCTTATACCCGTTTGTGCGACGGTGGTAATAAGGAGCCAAATATGGATTCGGTTGGATGAAATTATTCCAGACAATCCTTCACGCAAAGTGAAGTTAAGTGAAGTGGGGTGACGAAGGCGGAAGAGCCAACTCCATTCGATTAAGCATGACAAAGAATTTATAGTCAGACAAAAATAAGCCAGACATGTAATAAGCCAGATAGGTACGCACACGCATGAATGAAAGCAACGCAGATATGAACGAATGACTGACAAGCTCTGTGAGCTAGACGTAACAGCACTCACTACAGTCGTTTTGTTTTCAAATCACCGGCAGTGTATATCTAAGAAACCTACAGGCGGTAAACAAACTCAGAACATCCGATCTCGTGCTCAGACGCAGTATTAAAGTCCGACTTTAATCAATCAAACATATTAAAGAACTATTTATGGATTAATGAATATCATATTAAAAAATCAACCTGAAAAAAAGTTAACTTATTATTTCCATTCACGAAATACAATACTGTCACAATAAATATAGTACATGGAGTTCGGAAGACTATTTGAACTTAGTTCAAGTTTGTCCAAGTTTTGTTATTCACTATTGAATTTGGACTCACTAACTTCCACTTCAAATGTCATTCTATTCGGTGAAGACGCTGACAAAATGCAGAGTCTTCTGACTACCCTAAGCAACTATGCAATCATGTTCGGAATGCAGTTCTCACCTTCGAAATGCAAAAAGTTGCTTAAAGATTGGCTTGCGTCGGCACCTGAACTAGTCATGGGGAGTGAAGTAGTCGGGCTTGTCCACCGCTTCACTTATCTTATGAGTTTCATCAGCGCTGATGTCCTGGTGACTGATGAAATCTCAGAACGGATACAGAAAGCTTGATTGGCTCTTGACAAGTTGCGCCATTTATGGCGTAGGAGAGATAACCGTTCGCTTACAAAAGGTCAAGTGTACAGTGCAGCAGTTCACTCCGTTCTCTTATGTAGATGCGAAACATGGCCGGTAAGAGTAGAGGATATTTGTAGATTGCTTGTCTTCGATAACAGGTGTCCCCGAAGCATTACTTGTGTATCGTGGGATATGCAAGTAAGCAATGCTGCCATTAAGAAGCGAGTTCTAGGTAAGCATGGCAGATCGATTGATGAAGTAGAGAAACTTCATCAGTTGAGGTGGTTGGAACATGTGTTACGAATGTCTAACAACCGACTGCCTCCATAACCTTTGTTTTGTGGTCCAGGAGTAGGTTGAGTGAAAGCTAGGGGCGGTTAAACCAAAACATGACAGAAATCCATGAAGTCACTAATAAGTGGACTGAGCCATGTTGGTAGATGTAGGCTACTTGATTGGGGTCCAGGTCACCAATGGTTAGAGACCTTGAACGACATGGCTCAGAATCGTTTGCAATGGCGCAGGTGCATTTATTCTTTGTGTTCCCTCAAATCCTAATCTTCTGGATTCGTCAACACCTCTAGTTTTGACTTTCTAAGCTTATCTCACTAAATTATACTTCTTGAAAAATATCTTCAAATCCTAATGTTGTCCATTAACAGTAGTTCTTCTACTATCTCCACCACTATGGGATCTGAAGTGACAATTGAGTCTCTGTGCTAATGTGGTATGACAACCTGAACAGATGTACTTACGTACTAAGTTCTACATTGTAACTGACTGACTGACTTCAAATGTCAAACATGTGAATAAACGTTGTACTGAGTCAACCCAATCTGCATCATCCACCACAAACAACAGAGACTGGTTCACATTGTAGTGGTCATCCATTGCAATAACTGAACATTACTGACGTTTACTAACAGAAAACTATCACATTTTAGAGATTACCGGCAATTTATGAAAACAAGAAATATAGATTTAGTGTAAATGTAAATGCTTGATAGAAAGCTGTACAACTATGCTGTACAGTCAAGCTTGAGTAATTTATTACCCATTGAGAAAACACCATTTCACTTTAAACTGTTTTGTAACAAGAAAGTTATGCAATGAAAAAGCATCATCAGTTTTCTGACGTAATCATTAACAAACATTTTCATACTGAATGTTTTACTGTAGTAAGTGTAAAAAGTGAAATGTTAAGGGTCAGAGTGAGAAATTAGTGCTGTGAAACAGAGTTAAGAATGAGGTTTTGAGTTGTTGATGTCATTACGTTGAGAGAATACTTTTCACTCATCCTGGTGAAGACTAACTAAAATGTCAATTGTTTTCTGAATTCAAATTGTCAAAACGAATGAATTGTTTTGAAAAACTTGTTATTTACACATGTAATCTTTATGAGAAGTAGATATGTCATTTTGTAAATTTGGCTCAACATACTGCGTAACTCATGGATGGATGGATGTGTTCAAACATTCAAGTTTCTAATGGTGGTCTAACAATGGATCGATTTATGTTTTCAATGAAACTTAACAATCTCCATAACACTACAATAAAAATAAAATATAGACAATGTTTATTTAGATTTTAATTCTGATTAGGATATCAACATAGTTTAGTCTAATTTGTGAAATTGCAAACCTCTAACTGTTATCTCACAATAACCATAATGTACTCTAATTCATATAAAGAATGAATAAGATGACAAGTATTCTATAGTGTGTATGCTATTTTTAATATTCAAACGTGTACAGTTGACAACTCAATTGTGTGTAAACTTTTATTGAAACACGTAAATTTGATAAGCGTGACTGTGATAACACCTACTTATCTGTTATACAAACGTACTATACTTTATCAACCATAAACAAGACAAAAAATTTGAATCAAATGACCAAAAATTGAAATAATTGTGGAAAATGAAATAAGTAAACAGTGTAGATTACTTTCAATGTCGACTTCACTGTACAAGTATAAAATAACACGGAGATGGATATTGACTAACACTATAGTCAGAATTTTCCATGCAAAACATGTCAAAACAATTCTACTGTATAGAGTGGAAACTTGGAAAACTACCAAAGCTATCATCCATAAAGATGACAAATATTTATTGATTAACAGTTGTCTACACACAATACTTCGGATTCATTGACCAGACACCATCAGCAACAAGCTACTGTGTGTGGGGACAAACCCGAATCCAGTGGAGGAGAAAATTAGGAAGAATTAGTGGAAGTTGATTGGATCCACATTGAAGAAATCAATTAGGAATTGATTTAATTTGAAACGATGTGACCTACTCCGTCCTGAGCCTCTCTTTCCAGTTCTGTCCAATCTCTGTTGATTCTTCTCATGTCTGTCTCCTTTTCTCAAAGCTAAGTTATGTTCAGTCTCCCCCTTCTCCTTTGGCACAGAGGATTTTCAAGTGAGGGTTATCTTGCGGCGCAGTCGGGTGATTTCCTGTCCACTCTCAGAGCTTCTTTTTTATTTCCTCTTCCACTGGGATCTGGTTTGTTCTCTCCCATAGTAGATTGTTGCTGATTGTGGTTGGTCAAAGGACCCGTAGCATTGTTCATAGAAAACTCTCGATAGATTATTCATTTATTCTATGTATGTTTGTTCCATAATATTCGTTTGTTTTATGAAACTTGTTTAATTGTCTAGATGGTATTTCAGGTAATAATCTTAGTTACATAATAATTAAAAACTAGGAAATACTGAACAGCTCATTCATCATCATCATCAACAGCAACTTTGCACGTAAGTACAGCAGTTCAAGTTGCCATACCACGTTAGTACAGAGTCGCATTTGTCAATTCAAATCCCATAGTAGTAGAAGTAATAAAAGAATTATAAGTAATCGGAGAGATCAGGGTTAGAAGATGTTATTCAAGAAGTATTATTCAGTACTGTATATTTAGAAAGAGAAAGATGAGGAATTCAGAAGGTTAGAATTTCGTAGAACACAATCAATGAATGCACCTGCGCCATTGCAAACGGTTTTGAGCCATGTCGTTCAGGGTCTCTAACCATAGATTACTAACATCTCGCGGAAACCGAACAGGAATGACATGACTCA